TAATTTTGGAGGTTCATTTAATTCAAGCTATGCTAAAAGAGGAGATGATGAGCCGATTCTTTCTTGAGACGATTAGGATTAGGTAGACCGGACCCTTCTCCCTTTAGCTACGCTACTGGTCATATTTGGTTGCCAATGAGCTACAGTGAAACATTATTATGTTTTTCCACATTGTATTGCTTCGTATTAAACAATATCAATTATTAATTGAAGAAGTCCATGAAACGACTCGACTCTCCGTCGTGTGTCCTGCCCGTGCCATCAAATTTAGAACTCTATTAGACTTTTAATTTATTGCGCTACAGTGTCAGGCTCTTGGTCACAGATTCAACTACCGCCTGTGTCATATTTTTACAAGTTCTCATATGCATTACATAAGTATTTGTATTACGTAATCATTCTGATTAAAATCTGATTATAAATGCAATCAAGCGCATAATTAAAAATAAATTCATGTTTAATTGACAAGTGACTTCATTAAATTCTATATGGAGTTATTTTTAAATAAATTTACATTATAAGCAGGACTTCTTAATATTGCAACTCGTTCTAGCAAATATATTGGTATAAGAGATAGTGTAGATAAATTAAAATAGAAAAACACCTTAAATACTGTTCGTAGTTAACGCGAGTAGTACACATTTAATTAAAACACTAACGGTTTAAAACGCGAAATATATTAGTTAACTCATTTATAATATATTTCAACTACGACCCGGCAAAGCGAAACGTCGGGCCGTAGTTAAGAAAATACTTTTCAAATAAGGTTAACTAATATATATATCGCGTTTTAAACCATTATAGTGTATTTGAAAAACAACTTTTTGAAAATAAATTTTAATTCTTTTATACATATTTTTTGATCTTGAACCGTTTTCGAAGCGCAAGCAAAGCAAGCCCTTAAAAATCAATATCTTTCCCCGTTTTTCCTATTGGTCGCAGCGTGATGTTTTATGGGCTGAAGTCCTCCTCGATATTTAATTTTAACACATTTTTTTTTCATTTCGAAAGTAGTTCCTTATTTTAGCACGTCCAAACAAACTGTTCCGATTTATATTAGTATAGATGAAATCATAGACAATTCAGTCAGACAGTAATCTTTGTACATAGCAATAACCTCTTTAGTACATCTTCAAGTTGGAAAGAAGCCGTATTTTAGTTGCTTTACCATCTTTAATCACCTGACGAGCCAAGGAAAGCGAATTAAGGTCGACGACCCCCGAAAACGCCGCTCGTTTCTTACGACCGTTGTTGTGATAATTTTATGCTGTAATTTTCATAACGTTACACTTTATGGTCGTAAAGAGGTTTTATCGTTGGAAATAAATTGTTTTACAACATCTTTCGATAATTTATAATTGCAATTTGTATTATAAATAGTGTTGGCGAGTAAAAACCGTATCAGATCGGACCACATTAGAACCAATGGTTTATATCTGGATATTAAATAAAAATAAATTTTATTTCATTTTTTTTATTAAAAAACATACTTCTTGGAAGAGGCGTGGCGTGTAAAATTCGCGTTTCGGTTTAAGTCCGATTTGAATTATATAGAACTGCCTATATGTTATAGAACTCGCTATCGCAGCAACTTCTCAATGCGTTTCCTTAAACGAGAGTTAGTAATAGAAAATCTAAATACCATAGACGAAGTGTTTATAATTCAATAGATTATAGAGCGTTGAAATTTGAATAATAGCGTGACTTCTGACAATCGTCGACGCTAATTCGATTATTCGTAACATAGGAAATGTTACGATCGATTCCGTATCGCCATCGATTATAGTTTATACTTTTTCTATACGAGAGGAAGTCACGGTTCTTGTATCATAATAGTAGTTAATTACTCGTTGTTAATCAACCCAAAGATATCACCTATGTAGAAAATGTATTAACTTAAACTAGGGTTACAAGGTATAATAAAATATAATAAATACCAATGTAGTGTCTAGGGTCGTGTGTTCGATTTTATTAATCTTAAACATATTGAACGTCGTTTGGAAATCTGGATATTAAATAGGTGGGATTTTCCGTCCGGGTCACGAACAACCGTCCACAGATGTTAAAACTGTTAAGTTTGATCGCGTTTTGGTTTTAGCCTGTGGATTTCGCACAGCGTATCTTCCTGTCCTCCTCTATCATAAAAAAAAATTAAACTCAACGTTGTCCTATGAACAACATACATATCTAGTATTGAAATAAAACACTTTAACGGTTCAAAACGCGATACATTTTAGATAAACTTCGGCTGCTGCAAAGCATCCGAAACGTCAGGCCGTAGTTAAAAATTATTTTCAAACAAGTTTAACTAAAATATGTATATCGCGTTTTAAACCGTTAAAGTGTTTTATTTAAATGTGTACTACTCGCCTAAACTACAGACAGTATTTAACGTACATAGCATTTATAAAAGCAGTTATAGACAACGCAATAAACAATAATTTATGCCGTTATCTCATAGTGGATCAGTACTGGGAAACGGAGGTAATTTCTGAAGCGATGGACCGAGTTAAAATTACGGCTAGCATTGAACTGCGATTACCTAGTGGTGTCGTGATCTTATCGATAGTTTAGTGTCGAAATAGATACGATATCAACTATCAGCTCATAAATGAGTAAAACAACAGAATATCTAATTTAAAAATCGAAAATATAATTGCAAAAATTTCGACTCGGGCAGGACTTGACCGGCATCGTCACCTTTCCGTGCTGTTGCTCTACCAAGAGCTACCGAGTCCTACACTTATCGTCAATTTTTTCAACTTATTGATACATGCACCTCTCGCGCAATGTAATTTCTCCCTTAACACTTGCGTATTAAGGCTCAATGTCTTATGCTTTGCAGCTTAAGAAATCATTGAAGATGAAATTACAAAGTTATAACAACAAGCAATAACATGTGAAAAATATTAATGTTTTCAAACAGAATATCTTTTTAAATTGATAAACATAATTGCTAAATTGAATTCATAAACTTTGGAATAACATTTTTGAAATAAAAACAAATTACTTAAATGTTTGAATACTTTAATATTTTTCACGTGTTATATGCTTGATTTAAAAAAATGTAGGACTCGGTAGCTCAATTGGTTAGAGTAACAGCACGGGCCGCTGATAATGCCAGTTCAAGTCTCCCGAGTCTAAATGTTATTTAATTTTTTTTTCAATGTTCAAAGTTATCACAGTCAAAATATGAAAAATTTGTCTTCTTCTGCAGTTTTACATGTAATGGTTATATCGACAATTGGTCGAGTATTTTATTCGATCGGTTATCGATAGCTTTTAACATCTCTATATCCCGTTGGTCAGGCAAACGTAAATTGCTCTATCTCACGCAAAAGTAGATTACAAATCAACAAACTGGCTAACGCCGACGATGTAAAAATGTTAGTAGAAGTCACAGAGCAATGTTTTATAGCCTCTACTCTAGCCAACACAAAAATAACTTTTAAACTCGAACAGTCCTGAGATTAGCGCGTTCAAACAAAAATTAAATTATTGATCGAAAGTCAAGAGGCAGGTGAATTAAGTATTAGACAAATCGAAAGAATAATATTTCCTTTAAAAGAGACCGCATTGCTTTTGAAAATTGTATGATATTACAATATTTACGTGGAACCGAGGCCAAGCAAGTGTACAATAATGTAGTCACATAATCTCCTTGACTAGATAAAAACCTAACTTATGGTCCGAAACTGGTTTCCATAATGGTATTATGTACAAGAATATTCACATATAAAGAACTGGTCGTGTGTAATATTATCTCTATATTCAAACGAGGGATTGCGACACGGAAGGCTAGTGAGAAAGAATTATCGACTTTGCACATCACTATTTTTTCGTACTTTTACGTTCTACTTATACATATAGGTATTGTTGGTTAGGTCTATCTGTAGTTGCGCAGATGATAATTCTTAATTTAAACAATTTTAACGGTTTAAAAAGTTACAAAATTTTTACTAAGACTAGAATAAGAATATCCATTTTTTTCTTTTCTTTATTTTTTTTTTGTGCGTGGTGCCTAGACTTGCAAAAACTGTCAACTGCCCGAAATTTTTCTCTTGAACAGTTCAAACAAGCTAGACAATATATAACTGAAAAAGAAAGCCAATTTTTTACAAGTGAAACTGGAGGGCGAAGCGCTACCAATAAAATAAACCGTATCAAGCACTGTACGGCACTCCCCAATTTCTTTAATGTATTTTTCTACCCACGCAAACAGTTAAACACGACATTGGCTAATATCAAAAGTCTATGACGTTATGTTTAACGCTAAATCTCAGAGTCAACAAAGACTTACACAAAACAATATTAAGCAATTTTTAGGTATTTGCAATATTAATTTGGGTCGTCAAATGTCGTTGTTGCAAATGTTTCGCCGAATTACTATATTTCACATGACAGCTAAAATATATTTAAAACATTTTATATATCTACAGCTTACAATTACATGTATTTCATACTTTACTAAGTTTAAAAAGCACTTGATTGTTTCAAACATTAGACGTGAACAGGACTGGATACCGGGGACCATGGGACAGTAGAACCTTAGTGCTTGTTTTAAACTCTTGTTCCGCCCTTGATAGGTGTATATTGTAATCTTGTGCAAAATCTGTTGTTGCACTGTATCTAAACTAGATGCAAATGTGATTATCGCTGCTGTACCCACACAATGATGTTGAAATTTTGATGTCAGAATATTTAAAGAAACATAACAAAATTACTAATGAAAAAGCAATATCATACCTAAGTATTGTCTGCAGTTAACGCGAGTAGTACACATTTAAATAATACATTTGCCCCCGTGAGTACCTACGGCTGCTGTACAGCATCCGAAACGTAGGGCCGTAGACAAAATAAATTGTAAATAAGTTAACTAATACATCTTGCGTTTTGGACTGTTAAAAATGTTTTATTTAATTTATACTTAGTATATTTTTACTATAGGTACCTACATAGTAAGTTGCATCGTAGATATTATTGTCTACCCTTTCCTAAGTATGAGTTCGTTTGTGTCTAACTTTTTAATATTTTTTTGTGCATTTGGAATCTGTAAGTACATTTTTGTGTTTTGTTTGCTTTGTGTTTGTTGCTTTTTAATATTTCCCGTTTGCTTACCTTATTTAAGTTAGCAACTTTATTAATGCCTAATTTAAATACAGCTTATTACAGGTTACACATTTGCTTCAAATAGTGAACGATTGGAGCATGTTCTTACGGTTTGTTTTGTTCACAGTGACTTGCCTGATGATGAAGATAAAAAGTCACCAGTTCTCCTCTTAGGAGTCAACAAAATCTCCGACTCGCCGTTTGTAAGAAGACGCGGTAATGACCCTTACACCACTGGATCTATTCGGTTTTTCCGACCACCCAAATCGAAATACACGAGAGGCTTAAATGGCGACGAAAGATTGGAGAAGATCAGACAAGACCTGCTTGTCCACAAATATAAACCCGATACATACATTCCAAGCACAAGTAAAATTAACCAAATCGAAACAGACACCAAAAGACACTGCGTCAAACTGAGCTGCATCGGCAGTTGTATCTGTGACAGAAATAGATCTGACAGAGGATCGTTCTCCTTCCACCGTCCCGACAATAGACAATCTTCTCTTTGCCCATCGGAAGCATACAAACCACCGAAACCTGAAACAGGCAGAGATTCAGAACACGAAATAGAGTTCAAATACACCGAGCACATTCCGGAAAGCCAGCCGTCTAGCAGCAAGCAAACTTCCTATAACGTCACACCTAAATCCACCGAACGCAGACATTTCCTACTATCCAATCTAAACGAGAGATTTCGCAAAACCCTCAGCTTAGATTCACGTAAAATAGAAACGAACAGAGTCCCGCTCAGCCTTCCCAGTGGGAGCAGACCGAAATCCCTCGTGAACACAAGTAATGTAGTCTTGTACAATTCAAGAGATCCATTCGTAGCGTCGAATTTTGATAAATCCAGCCAACCGAAGAAAAAAAGGAAATCGTTCTTCTCGCTGGACACTTTTTTCGACTCCAAGAAGTCGGATACCTCATCAATAGACGACTACTGCTCGTCCAAATACAAAAGATTTGAATTAGAAAGCGACGATTCTCCAGTTCTTAAGCGGGATCGGGAAAAAACGCCAGATCTCTTGAAACCGGTGATAATTGATTCGGTGCGTAAAAAACAATCGGACACACGTCGTCAATTGGAGAAGCTAGAGGATCACTTCTATAAGAGTCTCAAACCGCAGACTGTGATTGATGCTGTACCAGCCGACGCGACTGAAGCCGGACATTCCAATCACTTCTTCGTCTACGATGATGAAGTGGAATACGTAGAGCCGATACGCAGCAACTTCACAAGTCAAAGCACGTTAATATTGGATAAAACTGAAAAGCTTGACTCCATATTGTCGATTAACACGGACGAGACGGATATAAAATTACCAAGTTCTACTGTCTCGCCTAAATCGAATGCAGCTAACGATCTAGATAGTATAGGGCCATATGAGATTGAGGTGAAAGAAGCCGATCTCTTGAAGAGTTGCTCAAGGAAATTGGTTGTTAAAGTTATGGATAAGTCTGTGGATTCTATTGGCAGCTGTTCCCTGGACGTCGACGCGAGCACAGATTTTTCAGGTAATGTTAAATTTATTGCTAAATGAAGATGAAAGTATCTATTTCTTTAATAACACTGTTCAGTAAAAGCCCGACAAAAGATAAATGATAACGCAAACTAAGTTAAACTTTGCAATATAATATTTTCAACTATAAATAGGCTCAAGAAGAGAAAGACAAGGGGAAGGGTGGCGCCGTAACGTATTACGTAACGAAATTTACCCTGCCCATAAGAAGTTATTACCTACTTCTAAAAGAATTTGTTCCTACACGGAATTATAAGCATATCATCAACTTGTAGAAACCACATCGGTTCAATATTCGAAATATACATATATAAAATGGATAGTTTATAAATAAATGAACCTATCTAACGTTTTAAACGAATTTAACCCGTTAAATATTACTTTCATCTTCATTAATACGCAATGATTGTTGTGCTGTGTTATGTACTGTAGTTTTAAGCATGTTTGTTTTATCGTAATTGCTATACTGTATTTCTCATTATTATATAGCTTTTTAAATATTATATTATGAACTAGAGTAATTTCAAATCTACGCTCACTATAATTTATGCAATGCAGGATCGTTTCGTAGATTTGAATTTACTTTAATTTGAAATTACTTTTCATTATTTCACTACGAATGCTAGACTAAGCTTTATTCATGTTATTTATTAATTAATAAACATTTCATTTCTGTTGTAATGTGTTTTCTTTATCTGTGTCGCTTCAGTTTTTATTTAGTATCGTAAGTATCTATTTATATTTAGTTAACTTTTATAATATGTAATTAGTGTTGGTAAATTAACAATGTCTTACAAGAATATTTATAATTATTGTTGAAACTAGCGAACAAAATTACAAATGCTCGACCAATAACATCATCTCCGGAGTCTTAAATAAACGTATATTTTTTTCTTATCATAGACGAGACAGCGTGGCGCTAGCCATATTGAATTTGAAAAAGATGCGTTGTCGGCCATTTTGTCATTGGATATTCGGAGATTCACAGACTGCAACCGAAACGCTATTAAAGCTTGAGGGCTTTTTAATCTGTGGACGGTGGTTGGTGACCCGAACGGATATTTCGATATTGCTACCACCCATTAAATATCCAGATTTCCAAACGAAGTTCAACATGTTTCAGAAATTAGAAATATGTTGGACCTGGTCGGGGATCGAACCCGCGACCCGTTTATTATTTGCCATGCTACCATGAGACTAAGGAGCCCGTCAAACTCTTATTTCCTTTGACTTATTCATTTTAAAAGACAGATGCTTCTCTTCACATAAACATATTGAAGTGTTAGATTCTTAATTACAGCGTAAATGTGAGAAACAGCGTTGAGTGCTCTTAAGATTGTATAGGCAAAATTATAATAATATTTTTTAAGACCAAGTATAAAGGGTTTTGTCGGGGTTGTGGATTTCATGAAATAATTATTATACAGACCATAGGCACTTCAGTGTGGCCTAGTACTGTGTCCACGTTTTTAAAGTTTTATAAGTGGCTACTCAATTCACTAAGTAGTTCCTTTCTTTACTTCTATTATAAAAATGTTCACAGTTTTAGGTCTTGTTAATACAATAACAGCATTTATTCTCGAATGAAATCCGGAAATACATCGTGTTTTTTTAAGAAATGATTGAAGTCTAGAATAAAAAGGAGCTTGTTGGCGTAATGGTATCAAAGTGTAGGTAGGTATCAACATCAACGTCATTCGTGGGTTCAATACTCCCCCCCCCCCCCTGAAAAATGATTGTCGAATAATGTTTTTATCAATTTATATTTTTTATATCTCCAAGATTATGAACTTTGTCTGAAAATCTCGATATTAAATGGGTGGTACATTCTGACCGGGTAACGAACCATAGTCCACAGATTAAAAGTCGCCGAGTCTAATCGCGTTTCGGTCTCTGTCTATGCATCTTGTTTAAATGTTATATGGCTGGGATGTTTCATTAAGTGAACTCCAAGCTAGTCAGTCCTCTTCTATAATAAAAAAATACAAAAACTAGGTCATATGGACATGAAAATATACATTACAAAATGCATACAAACAAACGTGTATGACACAAGTCAACGGTTGACCTTCGGGCGGCCTACGCACCCGTCATACTCGCCGTTCGGTCATTGTCTCGTAACTTGGCGACCGATACACGCGTTTAACACCGACATTTTTATCAATATTGCATCGATAACGTTATTACAAAACGGCATATCCGTCATCGATAAATAAAAGTAATGTAAGTGAATACGTGTTAAAAGGTCAGTATAACAGGAACTTTATCCGGGCGCGCACACCGTGAAACGGAACGGCACGGACCGGCCGCAACTGCGCAGCGGATGACGTTTCGAAAAAAAAAAAGTTTAAAAAGTCTGACATCTGTGATTGGAATTTTTGACTCGTGCTGGTTAAAAATAAGATGTTTAAATTTTACACATTTTGTTTAAAGTAAAATTATTGTTGGTTTTGTGTTGTGCACACTGTTTAAAACTGTATAATCGTCGTTTCTGCTCTAAAATTGTCATTGGTAAGTTTCGTAACTTTAAGTGGTAAATAACTTAGTGCTCCTTGTGTTAAAAATTTGTTTTTGTTTTTATAATTAACTTCGTGTTACTCACGGATTTCTCAATTGAGCTTTCCTCCTAAAGATTACTCATGTTCGAATCCATAGAATTATGATGATAAATAATTATAAGCAGTGTATGCGCAAAACAAATGGTTATAAGCTTTTATGAAGCTCGATATTTCTTCCTTGTTAGTTAATTGAGAGTAACTTAATATAGTATTTAATGTTCCTGATATAAAATAACGTGTTGTAATTATTTGATTGTGTATTATGTTTATCACTAAATTTCTAGTGTTTTCCTTGCTTGGTTTGTAAATTATTTATTAAACCTACTACAAGAAAGCCGTATAGGTTATGTAACAAAGATGATAATTAGTGCAATAACATGTCTGAATATATTTTTTAGTGATTCTGCATTTCTATAAAAAATTACTTAATATCAAACATATAATTTAATATAATTTCTTAATCTCAAAGACAATGCTACATCATTATTTCTTTATTAGAAATCAAATTGACCTAAGATTTGTGGCCGAGACATACATGTTTATGTTGGTACCCTTAATGATTTTATATATAAATATGAATTTTAAACCATACAGTCTATGCATATAAGTATACTCTTAAGACAAATTATAATATAAACAAGAAAAGTATTAATTATATTGATGGATGTTAACATTATTAGGTAATATAAATGGCTTTAAATTTTAAACAATCATAGATCGGTTAGAAGACTTTTAATCACAAATTCTGCTTATAAAGTTAAAGCTTGGTAGATAAAAATATTTAACCAAATATAAGTTACTGTTAGTAATTATAATAATTGCTAATAATTGCTAATATTATTCTATTCACATCTGTGCAAACACACTCATGATTACCTTTTTTAAGAAAGATCAAGGTTTATGTTTTAAGTCTACATTATTGCTTTTATGTCTTTGTTTAATATGTTTTAAAGACTGTATATAGTTTACGTGATTAGTACACATTTAAATAAAATACTTTAACGGTTTAAAACGCGATATATTAGTTAAACATATTTCAAAATGATTTTGAACTTCGGCTCAACCTTTAGGATGCTTTGCAGCAACCGTGGTCACGGGTCGCCCTGTCAAATAAGTTTAACTAATTTATCGTGTTTTAAACCGTTAAAGTGTTTTATTTAAATGATTTTAAAGAGTAAAATTTTCTCAAATCAAAATTTCACAAACAAAAACAATTTTTAGTATTAACTAATGTGACTACCTCCTGGCGGTCCACATTTTACTTGTTTTGAATTTGGTAGCACACAAATCGACATTTTGGAATCAGAGATTTAGGAACTTGTTTTGGTCACACAAATACTTGACTGGAAATAGATTCAAATAATAAAATGAATGCAGATTTTGTCTAGTCTGTCCCCCATATGCACCTTTATGCTTATAAGGTATTTTGATAGAGCCTCTTAAATACCTCTATATGTTAATAAAGTGCAATAATGTATTCTACTTCATATACTAGTAGAGATAGTAAATAAGTAGGTACATTGTCCAAATAATATTGAATACCTCATGTTGATTTATTTTTGCCAAAACTAATTTAGTAGCCCTTATCTACTCTCATTTCTATAATCTAGTGGATTATTTTCGTCAATTACCTGATTACCTATCATTGGTTTGTGACCTTGGCAATAGATAAGATTTTGTTGATACATGTGTAGTATTTATATTTTGCTAATGGTAGTCGTTAATTAATGTATGTTGTAAAATGTGTGATTATTTTTTATTATTTACTTGTAAGTAATATCACATCACTATACTGATACTTATATATGTATATTTCTGAAGGAGTACTAAGATACCAAAAAATAGGTTTTATTTGTAAATGTATGTATGCATGTATGTTTTCTCTACCCTCAATGTTTTAAGCCAATTAGAGCATTAATCAAATACATACTTAGTCAAGCTATGTGTAATATTCTTGTTTTTTTCATCTTGACATTTTGTGTTTGCCTTCTTGTTTTAATAAACCTACATCTACATGATCTTGGTGGACACCAAATAGGTTATTAACCCTACTTAAATTCTCTACAGATACCACATCTGGAAGCTTGAATCTCCTGACACCATCGTCAACTACAAGTCGGATTAAAGAGTTCACATCGAGGATACAAGAAAGAGCTGGTTCTCTTCAGCCAAATCATACTCCCACTCCCCTTTCGCCACCGAGGACTCCAGAAGATGCGACACCAACACCAAAACACCCCCCTAAATCAGAAAACCTTTTAAAACCACCCCCAAAGATCCATATAGACTCGTCCAGCCATAGATCTCGAAGCCACCAAAAGAAACGAGACGAAATACCCCAGAAGAAACCGAGTTATTTGAACCTAGCCTGTTCAGTTAACGGTTACACTAACCTAACGACCTATGACTCAAAGCTACGGCAGGATATCAATAAGAGCCGTGAAGCTTCCCCTATCCGACCTATAACACACACATACCAGTACAAGAGTGAGAGTAATTCCCTTCTGGTACCTATACCTGTCAGTGCCAATAAACTGTTGGTTCCTACATTCGGTCCCCATGATACTCGGACAAATTTGACATCAAAGGCGCCTTCTAAGGCGCACACAGACCCATACCTGGCCACCCCACATGTCTTCATGGCGGCCGAAAATAAACAACTGAAGAACGACTTCCTAGGTCCAACCATGACCACCACCAGTCGGTCGTACATCTCCACGGAGAGCAAGAACTTCGCGTCGTCCATGCTACAAAAGGATGAGGTGGATAATGCGAAAGAGGTGTTCAAATCTAGTTATTCTGAAACTAATTTTAGGCAGACAGTTACAAATGGTAAAGAAACCAGGTTCAGTTCGGAGTCCTATACCATTTCGTCTAATGAAGTGTCGAAACGAGTGGAGATTACCAAGGAGAATGGTGAAAAGCTAACGAGTCCTATGAAGAGCTTTATCCAGCAACGAGTGGAGCGATTATACGGGCCAGGGGCGCTGGCCCAAGGCTTCTTTAACCAACGACACAAATTAAAAAGCACAAGTGAAGATGACGCCAAAATTCTCACAGAGAAGTCATTGAACTGCCCCAGTCCTAGCGAGAGGGTTCTATCCCCAAGAAGATCTAATGACAGTTTTGACAGCGAAAACAACAGTCCCACCAAAGAGGATGAGGTTTTACCCGTTTTAAGACACCTGAGGCCTGAGTTCAGGGCTCAACTGCCAGTATTGTCACCCAGAAAAAGTTTGAAATCAGACCTGTCTCCGAATAAGGATCTAGAGAAAAAGACTGATGATATATGTGAAACTGTGATAAGTGATTCGGTGAAAGTAAATGGTGTTAACAGCAATGGTGAAATAAAAAATGGTGATCTAGTTAAGAATGGTGATTTAGAAAATGGTGATCTGAAGAATGGTGGAACGGTGAAGGATGCATATTATTTCCTAGATTTGGAGAAGAAAGAGACTGAAAGGCTGATTGCATTGGCTGCCGGAGCTGAGAAGGAATTGGAAAGCTTGCAAGTAGGTTTTCTTTATTTTTTACTTCTAAGTGCCCAAAGTTTTAGATATATACATTAGCTATGTATTCTGATTGATACTGATTATATTTCCCTTCTGTCCATCGTTTTGAAAATAAAAAGCAGGGAAGCTCATACAGAAAGGGTTTGAAAAGCTCAAATATGTCTGCTGTAACTGCTTCACTCAAATTCACAAGACTAAAGTCAGTTTGGGGGAAAATAATAATCATTTATTTCGAATATTATGTTGTAACAGAAGAGAATATTAAACTTCCTAAGCTCTTATATATTATACATGAAAAGGTTGTAAGCCTATATTACTATGATGAAGTTATATCATCTTAAATTTCTTTTAAACTATTTCAGAACCAAGAGAATATAAGTGAGGAAGTGTTAGGTCTGCTCCGGGCGGCTTCAGGCAAAGCGAGGTTGCTTGCTACACAGAAAATGCAACAGTTTGAAGGTTTGTGCAGCATAATAATATGCTTATATGTACATAATTTTTTTGTGATGCCATTGCGTTAATTAGACTATAATGGGCTAGAAAAAATATGTTTTTATACAATTTATTCACCAATACAAGTTAGGTATAACTCTTTACCACAATGTCATATAAAATTATTTTTCACAAATTCCTTCCCTTACTCAATCATTACAGTTATAGCAGTGTACTTGAATGTATTTCGTTATGCTGTAATTATATGACTCTTTGAAAATTCCAGGTCTTTGCTACAATAATATTAATGAGCGAGGCGACGAGCAATTCCCGACCACGTTGGAAGACCTGCAAGGGTTCTGGGACATGGTGTTATTGCAAGTCAGAAATGTGGATGCCTTGTATGCCCACTTGGATACTCTTAGGGATAATAACTGGCAGGAGGTAAGACTATTTTTCTTATGATAAAGGAATGGCAAGCAAGGGGTTCGCTTGGTGGAAAGCGAAATACCTCAGCTACATAACAACTCAACAAGACAGAAAAATTCTGAAACCCACAGACTGAAACGGAAACGCGCGTAAACCTAACTGTTTTATCATCTGTGGATGGTGGTTCGTAACTACGGGTTTTTGGATATTAGTACCGATTTAATATTCAGATAACCATGCGAAGTGCTTCAGAAAAATTGTAAATTGATTCGAAACACGTTGGGCGTCAAATACAAGATCGGTTGTTAGCTGTACATTGCTACCGTTACATTTGTTAAAAATTTTTGGAACTGTCATTTTTTAAATGTATTTACCAATTCATATAGTATAATAATTATGAATTCTACTCCCAATAAATTTTAGGTTTCATCACCAATAACCAAGCCGCCAACATCATCTTCACCCGCTAGAGGCAAAGTTGTTCGGACTCCTCAAGTTAAGAATGAAAAGGCCAGGCTCGCTGCTGAAAAGAGAGAAGCGGATAGGAAAGCCATGCTGGAACATCGCAGGTATTTACGATTATTTGCGTCAAAAGTAGTAAATCATGAATTCATTTATCAAAAAACTTAAAATGAGCAAATAGTATAGAATAATTGAAGACCTATGCAAATTATAACGCACATAGTAAGAAATATTTTGTGGACTTGTTAGCACTAAATGAACCAAATTTTTAGTAAATATATCTAAAGCAATTGTATGTTACTAGCTCTCGTGAGATGGATATAAATAGTAAGACATAGACCCCGCAGGATTTGTGACGTATACTCCCTTTGTAACGTTATTTAGATTATTGTCCCTACGGTGTTTAAATTTGAAAGCAAGTGTCAATATGTTAATGTAATAGTTACAATTAATGTGTACTTATACTATCGTTATTGCAATTCGCAGACGTGTAGCCCGCGAACGACAGTTGGCTGCGCGTGCGTCGATGCCGGGACAAAGTAAGGAGACAGATAACAACATGGGAGTGGAGGGCAGTCAGGTGAGACATAAATACCAAACCAACTTCAACCATATTTAATTTTATTACTTATTTAGAATCATGTGTTTTGTTTTTAGGCCACTCTGCCTCTAGCAGCCTCATATTATGAATTGAATATACATTCTTCTGTATATACATTTTCGTGTTCATACAATATTTATAATTATTAATTTAATTACATGTACAGTTTATTTGAAGGATTCTGCTTATAAATTAATCTACAATACTTTTTACAGGAGGTCGAAATATTTGTGGGCAAAAGTGCTCCGAAAGTGGCGCCACAAGGTGACTGTGCCAGTATGGCGAATTCCGATGACTCAATTGCCCAAAGCTGATTCAATTAGGACTAGAAGATTTGTACAAGACGAAAAAAGTAAATCTTTGCAAAAAAAAACACAAAAATCATAATTATAGTAGTTTGAACATGTTTACTAATGAAAAATGTATGAATTAGAGTTTGCCAAACATAAATAAATTTCTTGTCTTTAAATAATAAAAGCTTTAATGGAATAACCTTTACTTCGCTCGTACAAAGCTGTGCACAGTAACGAAGAATAAATTTTTGAATACGGATTTTTCAAGTAAAATTAATTATCAAATTGTGAATTCGACATTGTAAAATTGTCTAGTGAATATGCAAAGTTAACGGCTGTATGTATAGATTAAATATTTGATTCCATATATGACTTGTAAACATACATCAAATTCTGTTTAGCTTACAAGACAATATTTGTACTTGTCCCTCAATAATCGAATTTAAAATACCAATCCCATGTAGCGTATATATTCACAATTATAAGATATAGCACAAAATGTCATAATAATCTCAGTTTAAGACTTAGGGCTTTAATTATGTATACAGGTTGGTTAACTTATTGTGTAGGAACTCTTGCGCATTGAGGAAACTGAAATTTCAGAAAAAAGTTACACCATCCTGTATATAGGCTGTAATTTAAGTGTTTTATATGCAAATGCTGCAGTGATAAATAAAATGAAATACTAGAAATCAGTTGTATTACAATATTAACCATTATTTTAGTTTGTCGGCCTATATTTATATAAAGCATTTTAACTTGTTAAAATTAAATCAGAATCCTTGCTGTTATTTAGTTACAAAGTGCATTTTAAGGGCAGGCTTCCTATTAAATATTTTTTATGTAATGTATAAGGTGTTGATTCGACTGAATTGAGTTTGTATTCACTCTGTTTTGCTTGTAAATTTTAAGTCAAATTTCTGTATTATACTCGACAAACAATATGAATTTATTAAACATACACTATAATGAATTATCTCAATAAATTATTGTTTAAATGTATATTGTGTTTTTATTATTAAATTTTAACTACATTCATTTGAGTACATTTCATTTGCCTCAGTAAGTTTACCTTTAGGTTAAATAAAATGTAGTACATCTTGTTTGAACAAGAAATATTCAGAATTTATAAACGCTAACATAAAACACTGGAAAACAAATGAAATAACAACTTTACTTCACGTGGATCTAACGCGGACTAGTCAGCGCTCAATTAATTTTAACATAAAACTATTTAACCAAACGAAATAATGATATTTTAGTAATGTTTCAATTTTGAAGAAGAATGCATACAGCTTTAGAGCTTTTTTATCTTTCAGAATAAGTAGACATTTAATTCTTTGTGAATTTATATGACGGATGATAAACGACTTTTTACAGTCGAACATTACCTTTGAAAAAGATATATTATACTTCTTATACTAAGCAAATAATAAGAAATAATATACCACACAGTTTCAACAATCGTCAATTTAATTGAATGTAATCTAAACTTTATTATAGCGCCATCTCTGAAAATGGAACATGATACTTGTGACATCGTTGGTGGCAAGTTTGTTTTTCGCCATCTGCACTTATCACTTAAAACGTTGAGAATTAAATTGACAGACGCAAATGATATGCACTGAATTTTTAAAAACAATATTATTATGAGGACCGTAAAAATATCGAAGCTCTCTTAATTTCAATTGCTAACAATTCTTTTTTGATAATATTAATGCATATGTTGTAAATAACGGAACGTATAGAGTATATCAATTGTCTATGGATTGACAACAAACATCCGTTGTCGTTTTCAAACTTTTTCTTTTATTTTATTTTACGTAAATTTATAATTAAAAATTATTTTAAGAAATAAATTATTTGTTATTTTTTCAATTCTTATTTTATACTTTTTGAGTCAATCATTGAAAAAATAACAGAATAAAAATAAAAAGATAGATGTTGATCCCGCGTGTTTCCTTCCCGCGCACGACGCGCTCGTGGAAGTTGGTCATGGTCGTCCGCCAAACGGAAAGCCGCCATGATGGCTTTCTGTAAAGTACGCTCAATATGTAAAGTTTCGTTTTTGTTTTTCATTAATTGTGACTGAGTGCGTGCAAAAATTAATCATGGGAACGAACTAGAGTGTGCAAAGTGTTGTTTAAGGTCCTTTGGGACCTCCTAGAGGAGCTATAAAGTGTGATAAAAGTGCATTTTAGTGTCGACGCTAGCGTGTTTTGTTCTGTCAACAAAATGTCGAAGCTCTCGTTTAGGGCGAGGGCCCTGGATGCGTCGAAACCAATGCCGATATATCTCGCCGAGGAGCTTCCGGATTTACCGGACTACTCGGCGATTAACCGTGCAGTACCTCAAATGCCTTCTGGTATGGAAAAAGAGGAAGAAAGTGTAAGTATTTTACGCATTTAGATGTCAGTCACATCTACTGTGTGTCCGCCATCATGTTTTCGTTTCGTAATCATACCGCTAGAGGCCTTTTGAAAAGAAATTCAATATTCAGCCGATCTGCAACTATTATGCTACTGTAAATGATTAAAATCAGCTGCATAATTACTGAAATCTTCAATTAACTCGTGAACCTTTACATTTACTCTAATCTAGAGTTTGTTGTTGTCCGACAAAATTTGGCGCGTTTAAACATGTGTTACTTAAGCGGCACCTTTGCTCAGGTAGTTATAATATCGAATACTTCTGGTTCCCTTGGGCTCAACAAATAGTTATTTTTGTGCGAAATGCGTAGTAATTGTGAAAATTACTGCACACGATTGAAACATACTAAACAGATGTTTTTGTTTACAAACAACGAAAACGCCGGTACTCGTTTAATTTTATTTCTCGAATATCTAATTATTATTTTACAATTTAAGATTAAGACGTCGTATCTTTGAAGCATTATACAACCTTATTATTTAATTTACTAAAAACTGCCTTTATTGTGCACTTTGTTATTGAGTGTACTAAATCACTATTGTCCAAAATTAATATTTTAACTGTTTCAATTGCTTTTAGGACTGGCTTTTCAGTATAAACATTTAAAGGCTGCATTTAATCAAATATATGTAGGTAAACAGTGTAAATAAATGATTATTTCTATTTAATAAAGGCTTTATTATTACAGTTTGACAGAATACATTATTAATAGGATAAACAAAAAGAAAAAAATAATCTATAATTTCTGTAGTCTTTGAAAATCGTGGCAGTAATATTAATTTATATTATTTATGAATACTGGAGTATATTAATTTTGTTAGTTTCTTCTATGATCATATTAGCAAAGGAAGTTATTATCGATATTGTGTATGAATTTAATATCATAATACTAAACTAGGACTGAAATATAATGTTTAATCTACAGTAGATATCACTTAAAAATTAGAGATTGTTTTAAGATAAATTAATCTTAGTGGAGTTGCCTGTTACCTTACCTATTTGCTTTGCGATGTTGCTATACAAGAACAAATATTTTATAAAAGTTATCATTGTAACAGCTTTTGAATAATCTATTAATACACAGTGTTAAGTCTTTATAACAGCATTTTCATAATAATAAACTTACTAGAGATAACAATTTGGTTGTACCTGAAACCCACATAATATGTACAGAGTATCACATCAACTCTATAACAATAAAAAATGCCTGTTCCCATGATAATGTTATAAATAGTTTTGCGTAATATAGAACTCTGAGCCAACACCTACCAGAGGTTATTTTTCTGCTTACATTTAGTATTTTGAAGTACTGAAAAAATAAACACATATATAAGTGCAATTAATCTTAAATAATGTTAATTAATACCATCATAATAAGCAAATTACTGCTATTGTCTAAGTGCATTATGCTAAAGATTTAAAATGGTAGGCATTAAAAATTCATTAGTGAATTACTTTAATGAGGTTATCTGTTCTTGCCTAGATAGGCTTTACTTTCATCCATCTACCTAAAATATCTTTAAGTAGAACAAAAGTGACTGTTGTCTGCTTTAAATGAAACATGAAGACAACTTCAACTTAAGATTTAATAACTAAGTTTTTCAAAAGTTACAATTACATAAATGTGAGCATTTAGAGATAATACAATATTTGTATTTCATTTTAGGCAAGTACATGGTCTTTGCTTTTAAGAAAATGTATGTATTCCATCTACAGCCTAATTTGCTGAATACAGAAAATTTCAAATTCTATTGTTTTTGTAATTCTCTACTTCATATTGAGACTAGCGAACCGGCTTCGCTCGGGTGCAATGCTGATACTCAATAACCTACAGAAAAACTGAACGTTGTATATAAAAACTTTTTTCTTGAATCACTCTTATCTAAATAAAACACTTTAACGGTTTAAAACCGATATATTAGTTTTAAACGTTAAAGTGTTTTATTTAAATGTGTACTACTCGCGTAAACTATAGACAGTATTCACTCTTATCTGTTAAAAAACCGCATCATAATATGTTACGTAGTTTTAAAGATTTACGCGTACATAGAAACAGAAAAAGCGACTTTGTTTTATACTACATAGTGATATCTATTGTAACATTATTCTGAAAATAACCCTTTTTGGATTTAATTTCAACCTTTCCAATTTCGCTTTAAAACCTCATTCATTAATAATAAGTACAGCTGAAAATATACCTGAGTTCGGCGTTATTGTTAATGTAATAACCTAAACGCTAATATTAAAGTAATATCAATCATATTGCTGTGGTGTAGAGTTCAGTTTTAAAACTCTGTAAAGTGCCTTTTAGTGCTTAAATTGTTCTATGACGTCAAAGGGTGCACAGGGGTGGCTTTTTCATAGTAACGTAGATCTTATTATTAGATTCATAACGTCGTTTTTGGGTTAACGTGGGTTTTGTAATAACATCCCGTCTAATGCAGACCTATCAATAACAATCGAATCGGCGACCCTTTCGTGTTTTTAATTCAGGTATCGGTTTACCTGTTATTGTATGTGTCGATTTACTATTGATTCCCAAAATGGGGATACATGAAATCTTAGTAAGGGATAAACTTACGAAGTTACTTAGTAATGTATCAATTGAATAAAGTCTATTCTATATGTTTTATCGCTTTGTGGTCTAGACCTCTCGTTCTAGGATTAGATTTAGTGCAATTGGCCTACATCCAATATCGTATAACTGTGTTGCAAAACTCTCATGACCTTACCAACGTCTCGCGAAGCTTCAATCGATACGAATGTTTGTTCCATTCTTACTATTAACGGCTAAGCTATCACGGCTTTCAAAGTTATTGAACAGGAGTCGAACACGCAGACGGCGTTTTAAGCCTTAGCTGCCTTAAACTAAATTTCAAGTTGTAATTTTTTTATTAAAATGGGAACCATAATAAAAGTTAGATAATTATTAAATATTCTTTAAAGGAAACTAGAACAAATATTTTTATTTTTGGCGACTTGAAAATAGCCATATTTTGCCCTTTTTCCCAATCCGAGCCCAAACTTAATACAGCCTTCTAAAGTATTTAATTTAACCTTTAGTGAGTTCACGTTCAAAGTTTTAAGTAAAACATAAAGGTCAACAACCTTTACAAAAATTACTCATACGTCGATTAAGATTTTTATCTCATTTAGGGTAGTACTTGTGAGAATCAAGGTATGTAATTAACATGAGAAAAACATACGGGAAGTTGCACCTTGCCTAGCGGGTTCCCTACGCACGTGGTTTTAAAAGGCAGGTGTGATGGATTGAGAGATATCCTACAACAACTTATAGTATAAAATACTATGGATTATATTTGTGTATTATTTTTTTATTGAGTTGGACACACAAACATGGTTGATAGAAGGTGCCTCAGCCATAAAAGATCTCACAATGCGTTGTATATTCGGCAATACAGACAGAAAGCGAAATGGGATTGAACTTCGTTGTATTTCAATATCTTAATTTCCAGACGAAGTCCAACGTATTTCACAAAAATTAAAAATATGTTAGACATGGTGGGGATCGAACCCACGACCCGATTTAGGTACTTTATTAGCTATATCATTGGGCAAATGAGCCCGTCGATAATCTCGTGTTTATTAATTTAATTGACCAGAGAGAAGAATTTGGACCAAGATATTGTAAAAATGTATTTGTGATTGTTTACGATACTTAAAAGACAAAATCGACTTCGAAGTTTTTTTAGTTTTTTCTAGGTTTTCGTTTTCCTACCGAGTTTCTTTCCAGCTTCGAAAACAATATTACTAAATTTCAAACATTGTAGCTCTATTGTTGGTGCTGTCTGTTTCTTAACATATTATTTTTTTTATTTTTGTTGACTTTACAGAATAAGTTATTGCAAAGAATAAGTATACAATGTATAAAATAGTGTTTTCGTTAAAAGCCCTTTTTAAATCCAAACTTATCTTTATGCCGCCGTAATGAACAAATTTGAATATCAAATTTTATGTATCGAGTTATTTTGATTCATATTCTTATACTCATAAAGACTATTTCACCACTGTAAAGATAAACTCCAGCATTTTATGATAATGTGACCTTGAAGCTATCATAAATACATTTAGAAGGCATTGCCGTCTTATTTCATAACACTCAGAGATACGTGGAAACTGCCTAGTCGGTCTAGTGTTTAGTACCTATACTCGCCTGAATTCTGGATCTAGACATGTTAGTTTGGAATTGTTCTAAGAAAACTTTAAGTCTTGTACTCGAGGTTTTGGAAGCATATCATACCCTGTTATCCATACAAATTTAAGTGAGGACTGTAGGTGTTAAAGCCCACCAATCCGCAATGGGGCTACGTGTTTGATTTAAGCTCAACTATACTATCCTACGAGAAAGAAAACCTGTTCCCCAACAGTGGGACGTTAGTGGGTTGAGCCGTAACGTACAAAGGATTCTACTAATGATTGGTCTTTAGCTTATAGTAACAGTGTCCAGCTGTTTCCTAGAAGTAGGAAGTATTTGATAGACTTTGTATGGTTTCTGATTCATTGTGCAACTATTGTATTTTCTTAAGGGAAGGGGGCCAAAAAAAAAAAAAGGGGGGGGGAAAAAACCGGGGGGGGGCGCCCACCGCAACCCCCGGGCGCGAAACCCCCCCGGGGGGGCGCCCCCCCGGGTAACGCAAATGAGCTTGAAGGCACTAATTTAAAAAGTAATATCTTTAATAAATATAGGGCAATAATAAAATTACTATGAATTATTTATTACTACCAGCTACTTTATCTGTGTGATATTAAAGTGGTTAGGCATATCAAAATGAAATCTGATTCACGAACCACCCTCCACAGATGAAAGAGTGTTGTATATTTCCGAATATTCAAGACAAAATTGTGGGTCTCGTTTAGATGTTATATGGCTGCGGTTTTTCACCTTCCATCAAGTGGCACTGTGCTTGTGTGTCCTACTATACCAAAAACACACTAAT